TTTTATGCCCAGACCCTTTCTGAAGCCATGAATATTCTTATAAGTCTTCAATTAACTGAGTTTATTTTAGAAAGCAGTGACTACCTTTAAGAATGGACTCTTCTCTGACTTGTCTTGATCAACTGTATGTCGTGTGATAAATGTTTTCAGGACCGTTGCAAGATTATGGAAATCTACAACAAACAATCTTCCAAAACTTTCCAGCAACACATCTCCTCTATTGGTATCCAACTTAACAAAAAAAGGTCTGTCCTGGGGGATTTTATGGTTTTCTAATGTATTTCTAACCTTTTTGTTAAATGCACAAACTGACTTGAAAATGATTTGACCTTCAGTACTATTTAATAAAGAAAAACATAGATGGTTGTCTGGCTTTTGTTTTATCAGTGCTCTAAATGTCCAGTTATTGAATATTCGCATGCTGCTATAGGCTCCAAATCCTCAACGTTCCTGCTTTGTGGGATAAAACTCTGCAGGCTTTTCTTCTTAGATGTATTTTTTTTGTTTGTTTTATTGTTTGTTTTCTGCTCTGCACAGAGCTCAGAGAGTTGAACAAATTCAAAAGGTCCTTTTGGAGGAGATCAAGAAGATGGAGCTGGACAACAACATGCTGCAAAACATGGAGAAAGACATCACCGTGGGTCACTTAAGCTTGTTTTCACCTGAAACTTGATCATAAAACTAACGTAACGACTTTAACATTGCTCATTTTAAACAGATGACAGCCATCATTTGGACCCTTCTTTCTTGCAGATATTCTGGAAAAAACAGATGATGACTTTCCATGGTTACCAGAAGCAGGAAACCAAGAGGTGAATTAAAGACTTACGTGTTTCTCTGTAGATGCTGAAAGAGTCATATTGTTCTTCAGCTACACTCTTCTGATCATTGATTGATTTTTGTTGTTGTTGTTGTTGTCTTTTTCCTCAAGCTTGGACTAAAATACCCTGTAAAACGTTGAACAACACACTTGTTTATTCAGTAGAACAAGGATTAAAGGGGTTGACTGGAAAGTCATTTCCCCCCTCTGGGCTATCATCAGAAACTAAATATGTCTCCCTCCAGCACAAGCTATTTTTGAAGAGATGTTTCCACTGCTATAACTAATAGGGGTTTTACAGATGATTTGCCTGTGTTCAGCGCCTGACTGTTATCCAGCCGGCACCCAGATTTATCACCATGGCTTATAAGCCTTATGCTTCCCAGGCTGTAACCAGCACACTCTATTATCCAAGAAATGTCCTTTTTGTGCCCTAATTTGTCAATTAACACTTGATTCTGAAGTTTTTGTTATGATGTGTGGCAACGTGTCCTTATGCACATCACTGTGCTTTCTGCTACAATGTCACTGTTCTCCCAATGTTTACATCATAGGCCTTAAAAACACTGCTAGCATGCCAGCTGATAGCAGTCATATGCATTTAATATTAAAAAACAAATTGCTATAATATATGAGAGAAAGGTGTTTGTCTCTATTATATAATCATGATTGGTCTGGCTTTTTTTCTGATAGATACCTATGTCCAGTTTTTTTTTTTTTTTTTATTATTATCTCTCCTGCCAATTCGATTTTGAGCAAAAAGGACTTTTTTTCTGAGGAATTTAACATTTAAAAAAAATACAGCAAAAAATTAAGAAATTAAAAGATTGTGTCAAGACAGACACTTCTTACTTTGATTGATTTTTTTAAAATAATCTATTGACCAAAAGGTTGGGAGTTTGTAGTTTTGACACAGTTAGTGAAAAGACAGGAAAATGAATTTTTATTATTTTTCCCCTACCCTCACCAATTATTTATGGATCTCTGTGATCAATAATTATTTCAAATGTGTATTTTCCTTGGACACATAAAATTAGACACCACCTGGAAACAGATTGCATTTGACCATGTTATCATTATTGAATTGCACTCAAGTTTTTAATGATTTAAACTAGTTATCCATCTTGATGCCGTGTTGTGTGAGATTGTTAGCTTGTGTGTTAATTGTCATCAAATCCTGATAAAACGTGTGGTGACCTTATTATTATGCCCATTTAAATAAATTACTCAATTTAAAAAGTATTCACTTCTATACATAATTTTGAATTTGAAGTCATTCTGTCAACCGACCCATAATTTTTGCCATTAAAAATGTGTTATTTGCATTTTTTTTTTTTTATCTTCACAAACAGTCTTTTCCATTCTTTTTTTTTGTTTTTGTTTGTATGCATTTTCTTTCCAGAACTGATACACTGAAGAAAACCTTACAAAGTATCACTGGTCACAACTGGGATTATGAAGACGGGGTGTTCAAATCAGAGGTATGACTTTCACATACGTATAAATTGTATGATTTATTGTGTTTCTTCTCTGGTAATAATTGTGCAAGTCCCAAGAGGAGAAACTTTAGTTATAAATCAGAGTAGACCACTTCAGCCTCTTCCTGTCAAGGACTGTAATCTCTGTTTAACCATCAGTTTTAGTACCAGAAACTTTTACTCTTTTCTCTTCATGCCATAAATTCACTCACAGACCAAATTGTGTCTCATATCCATAAAATTTTTTTATACTGGCTGCTGCTTTCAGATGTGCCTGATAAAAAAAGACATGAAGTCGATTCAGGACAGGCTTCTCAGTGAAATGGTGAGTTGACACCAACACAGGTGACGCCTCAGCCTAAAAATCTGGCTTTCAATGTTTTACTTTTCGCTCTGCCTCTGAGAACATGTTCATTCAGTTAAATGGAAAAACTCCACACACCTGCGTTAAACACCAGGTTTTTGTCACGGAGCAGGATGGATAATTCCAGACCGTTTTTTGTGTTTTTTTCTCCGCACCTTTAGTGTGACATTTATTCTGTCCAAATCAAATGAAAAGCAAAAAATGTTAGAAAGGATGTGTGGACTCTGAATATCCACTTTAACATCCAGTGTTGTACACAGTATCGTCTGAGATGATTTATCATGTTCTCAATGATCTTTTCCGACGCTTGTGCGCTGCTCATAGCACGAGGGAGAGATCCAGAGTGTGAAGAGAGGACTACATGCTTTGTTTTTCCCCTGATGGATCCAGGTTTGGAGGTGACCAAAGGTTACCCTACACTGTGAACCGATGTGATTGTCAACATGTGATGTTGTTTCTACTGTGCTAGTATGCAATGTTTTTACTCCAGATTCTTTTGTTTTGTGTGGATGCATCCAGTTGTTTGAGAGCTGGACTTGTTCCTAATATGCATTGTGTTTCGTTAGAGATGTTTCTAAATTTCAGAAGAATGTTCTTTACTATCCAGTGAGAGCTAAAGAAAGTCCCCTTGGTGTTGGTGCAAACAGGGCATTAGCCTCTGCATGGCTTTAATATTTTTAAAACACTGTATTTATGTTTTAGTGAAAGATGTTTAAGTAATAAAAAACATAATCCTAAATGTATTTAATTGTTTTTAAACCTCTTGTTAAAGCCATTCTTAATTGGAAATAAAATCGTTTGAGAAATTAATACACTGCCCGTTCTTAAAAAACATGTATTTTGAAGACAGTTTTGAAGTAGTGCTTACAAAGGTATTTCTCTTTTCAGTGAAGACACTATCAGTCCCGTTCTGATTGACATACTGTATGTACAGTCAATATCAAATTCCTCCCCGACGCATTCTCACCCGACTTCACAGTCTGTACACAGTCCAAGTGACACATTATTCATCAGTTAAGAAAAGGTGGTCACATGCACTACTTCTTCCCACTACATGGATTCACACCGATTTGTCAAAGTAGTCCTTGAATTAGTACAAAAAAGAACGACAGGATTGTTTTTTTTTTGTTTGTTTTTTTCCCCTCCCTCTGCTCTCATCCTGAGAGTAAGAGGGTTTCCACCGAAGTCTCTTCCACCTGCCTGCTTCCACGTCGCACCCAGTGGTCTCCGGGACGCAATGCCGGCAAACATCCCTCCGTTGTTTCTCCCACACCCGTTTCTTCATACTGATAAATATGAGGGGTGTCGGAAGAAAGCTAAAGACACGCTGAAGACAATAAAAAAAAAAAGGCTTCAGGCTCTTCGATGTGTCACCACTGAGCTGGCGACAGGCAGCTTAAGGAAATTTCTACGCTCAGCATTTCTTCACAGAAGAAACTCTTCAGTCTTTCACGGCCGGTGGAACCTGCAAAAGGTAGACATGCTGTGTGTTAGTGCAGAGGATGGGAGAGGGTACCTTTGTCATCAATTCTGGCTGTGTAGCCATTAACCAGGAGCTATTTTTAAACTCTCTGGGTCACTGGTACAACCCACAGATCCTTCATTTGTAGACCAGCACAGCCAAGGACATTGTACCATTTCATTATTGGCTCTCTGATACTCTTAGCTCTCCAGGGGACAACCTCCCCTCCCCAGTTTAGACGCACTCCCATCTATCTATAGAGTCTCCTGCTCTATGTAAGGAGCACGGTGAGCTAAATATAGACTGCTGCTGCCCAGAATAGAGCATGCATGCATTACCAAACACACTAACACGCAGGCGGCTCAGAATACTAACCTAGTTAGGTGTTTGCTTGAGGCGTGCACTTCCATCTCTGTGCTCTTGAACTCGTTCAGCTCTTTCCGGATTGCAGCCTGTGGGGAAAAGGCAAAAAAGACCATTATCAGTGAATCCCCTAAAAAGCATCCTGAGCCAGTGAGCATCAGTGAACAGCAGGAGAAAGATATAATCAGGATAAATCATTTAAAAGGGCGGGGGATTCTGTGAGATAAGCTGATAACAGCGACATGAACATGCTGGTAGTCCTCAGTGATAGTCACGGAATTTGGGGGAATTTCGTAATGCCTGACCTAAATATTGATTTATTTATTTCTTTTGTACATCCTGAAGGTCACTTGTCTTGACAAACACTCACCTTGTCCGCCGCTGAGAGACGAGTCCAGGGCTTGTCTGCTCTCCTGTCATAGTCCTGAGCTTTGGCCACCTCCACGTAGTCACTGAAGCGGATCAGGATCTTTCTCTCCCGCAGCTCATCAACTGTTGGCCGCTGATTGAGCTGAGAAAGCCCACCCACACACAAAAAAAGGTCAAATTAATTTAACCCAATAAAAAGGTTATGCATGTTGTCGGTTATATATAAATTAACCAAAAGTGTTGTACCTTTCTGTTTAGTCGCTGTTTTATCTCCCTCCTCTCCTCCTGCTCCGTTTGATCGTTTCTTTCTGAAAAATAATAATAATTAAAAAAAACATTCGAAAAAGCTTTACATTTTGCTCTCAATGCAAAAAGAAAATCATGTAAATTAATACTTGTAAATAAAGTGTGCTTATTTCCTTAATTTCCAACACCTTGAGTCATAAATACCACAACAAATACGGTGAGACTCACGTTTTAAAATGTTTCGACTCTCCAGCTCCTCCACATTCGGTCTCTGGCTCAACCTCCTGCGGAGAAACACCAGAACCACGTTTTGAACCATGTTGACCAAATCTCCTCCAGCCCCTTTCCTCCTTCCCCTCTGTTCGTATTAAACAGGTTGCAGTTTCTTCACGACGCGCGTTCTCGAGAGGAATCCCCTATGTTTCCATCTCCCATCCAAACCGCGGCTGTGCTGCTTGGGCAGAGGGGCTCCCCACATTTGGAAGAGTGATGAACGGCGCCGATTTATCTCCGTACAGAGAATTTCCTCAAGCAAGTTTTATATTTCGGCGAGCAGCATCTCTGCGGCGGGAAAACTCCACTCTGTCTCGGCGGCGCAGGCACTCCTCTCTCTACTATCAGCCACAAGCGCTTTTTGAAGCGGGTCGTGATGGGGCTGGGACGGGGCGCGACTCCGCCAGTCTCCCTGGTTACTGCATGCATAATGTGTTGGAAGCTCCGCCCACTAAGGCTTCCCCCGCTTTTACGCTCGAGCAGGAGGGAGTAAACTCGCACCAGCGTAGTACTCTAACAGTAGCGTCGGTTTATTTAAATATGTGTCGAAAGTTATTTATTTTAAAAACATATAAAAATATTTGTTTTGTAAATAAATAAATAAAATAATACAGCAGCTTTAACCACTTGTTGTCCTGGAAGTTTAGTTTCCAGTTGTCCCTTCGCCATCAAAGCAATCAAAAGGTTCAGCTATGTGTCTGTGAGTTGGCTTTGTATGAATTATATATGTGAGCATCTTAAAGAGGTCAACATCAGACAGCCTGTGGGTTATACCCCAGCAGACCTCCAGAGGTGAAAACCACAAAGAGAGTTTGAATGCCTCTACACAACAGGACTCTCTTCATCCCCTCACCCTGGCAAACACTGGACTCTTATAGTTTGGTTCTCTGAAACATCAAAGTTAGGTCACATGAACTAAAACCTGGACGCCCATGATGCATACGCAAAAGTAACAGTCGTTTTTTATCTGTGTCTGCATATACTGCAGATGAGGACTTAATCTTGTCTCCATGGTTCTCAATCTGTGGCGCATGTTCTGGTAGTACTTTGGCTGCCTTCAGTGGGACTTAAAAGAAAAACCCAAATTATTCATACCCTGGTAGATATGGATTATAAGTATTTTTATTAAACCACCAACATTGTCTCTGACAGTAAATAAGACACCCGTCTCTTAGAAGACAGTAAAACTGTGTACAATTATAACATATTTAAACATTTTATTAAAAACATGGCATGCCAAAATTGTTTTTAGCCATCTCAATTATCATTAAGCATATTTATATGGTTATTTATTGTAAATCGAATTTTCTTTGAATTGCTGACCAGCTTCTCTCATGTTTCCCCTCAAAATTCATATTCCCCTCTCAAGTCTTGCTAATATCTCACAGTATTTGCAAATTATTTTTTTGATAAAGTTTGTATTGCCCTCTATTTCCAACCATTTTGATTCTAATTACCATTTTGCCATGTTGAATCCACCAAAATGTGACAGATCATGACCTCTTAAAAAAACGTTGGCTTTGAAAATCATCAATTTTGAAAACATCTCCCAGGTTGGGTATTAATGCCTGATGGGTATGTTCCACAGTAGATGGCCCCAGTTTGTACATGAGGATGGGGCAAAATGACCGGCATTCAACTACAACTTGGAATACAATTTTCATCTTTTTTTAAATTAACCGAGCAAGATGTCTGATATCTTCCCCTTCTCCCAAGAACAGTTTCTTCTCAGTGCTAAACAGAAAGTCGACTGTTATGTCTTCAGTAATTAATAAGCATGTAGAGATCTTTACATATCTTTACATGGTACAAGGTTTTGTTCAGCCTTCATGCCCTGTGTTCCTGTGATTAGAACAGGAACACAACAATCACAAGTGTTTGTAGAACGCTTTCGAAATCTCAAGCAGGAATTCCATTTTGTTCCTAAAACCTGATAAAAGGAGGAGCACTCATTGCTATCCTCCCTCGTCTACAGCTTCCCCTTTGATTAGATCAGTTGGATTTCATTGCTATCAAAAGATCTCATCAGGTGGGAATGATTTACAGCTCACGATTCTTTTGTTCCCCTCACTGACAAACGAAGAGAAAAACCACGGCGAAGCGCCTCGAATGCTGTTACATTCCAAACGTACAACAAACGGAAAATCACTAGTGAAGCCCCAGCGCTTATGAGCATCCACTGTATTGACCCGGTCGCTGGGTTGCTTAGCAACAGTATCTTGAAGACAATGGAGTTTTCCTGCAGAAGTCCTCATTTCTCCCTAGTAACACAGGGAGGGAGGGGGGGAGAGATTTCACCACCGCACTCCAAGCTGCGTGTGCTTTAAATGACAATCTGCAGCTATTTTTGGAAACATGCTGCTGTTTTCTTTTTTCTGCCTCGGCAGGAAAGATAAATGTGCTAACGGAGTTGCTAAATTTAATCAGCTTAGCAGCTAATTAAATTTGACTCGAGGTACAGTAAACTATTTTTAAACCTCAGGTAATTTTGTCACGTGTTTTGTTTAAACTGACACACTGATTGCATCGCAGGTTATAGAGTGAAAGTTAGAGATTTTTCTACGAGACGCAGAGAAAACACCAAAATCTTTTAGAGTTTCCATTTTTTTGATGTATTCCCCTTTTAAGTGAGGTGCGAAAGTAATCAATAAGTGCCCCAGTCGAGAGAGGTGTTAAATATCCAACCAACTGAGTGGAAAAAAACTGCATGTGGGCGGTTGTTTGGTCGTTAATTTAGGCTGCCAACTGCACCAAGAACATAAAATGTGCCTTTTTCAGCTTTCTTCTTTCTCGTAGTACTGTAGCAGGGTGCCCTGCCTCCTCCCACGCCGGTATTATTTCTGCTGATATAACTCCCCGACATTTGTGAGGAGGCAGCAGTGCACGAAGGTGGAATGCATTATTGAACTGTAGCAGGAGCTAAGATTAGAAACAACATGGCAGTGTGGCTGCAGAGCTGATGCTAGCTCTGGAGCTAAAGATAGAAAGGTCGTCGATCACTGACACCGACGGAGAGACGGTGTGTTATCATCCATCATCTGTTCTGCAGCAACACACAAAAGCTCAAAGGCAAAGAAGACAATTAGAGGTTGGAGCCGTGCAGAAATGTATTGGTGCTTAGTGTGTTCTTTTGTTTCTCACGACTGCCTCAGGGAGTTTTTTTCCTCCTTCAGTTAACCAATCTGAGCTATAATTAGAAAAGGTTATCCTCCACAGTTTTTCTTTGCAGCAACGTGGAATTAGAAAGCTGTATTATTCAAAGCTCCTTGAGTTTAGACTTCTTGGTCTGACAAAAATGAATATAAATCGTTAAATTATGTCCATATTTGCCACATTAGGTCTAATGCTACACTTCAATATTTGAGAAGTAGCCAAGATGTAAAGGCACTC